CCTTCTATGTTGCTTATATTTCACCATTGGATGTCACTACTTCCTCATTCTGACATTTTACACTATCAATTTCAGTTATCTTTCAGAATTCAATTTGGTTAAAAAAATAGCTTGTTAAAACCTGTGTCTTTACATCCACTTTATTTTTGCCATAACCTCCATGTTCCAGTTCAAATTTTTAAGCATAATATTTAAGAAGTCTCAAAATAGTTAGAATTCATTGGTGTATTATAATTATTTTTAAATTCTCCTCCAAAATCTAACTAACTTATACTTTTGGTGTAGTCCTTTTAAATTGATTCTGGTTTCTGAAATGATAAAGTCTAAAAGATTCCTCTGTTTATTTTTGTTTACTTTTCTCTCGTCTCAACAAAATTCCATTTTCCTATGTGATATCATTCTCTCCCAATATTTTTACCTTTGAAATTATAGTGAATAGTATTATAATTTTTAGAAAATCAAAAATTAATTTATTATGACTGTGTAAGTAAATTTTATGGCCACTAGTTAAAAGTATTATAGAGAATTAGAAATTAATTTTCAGCAGGGTTGATTTTATCAAACAGCTCTATAATGTTATTGAAGGGAAATGCTGCATGTTATTTCAGATCACACATATCATAAAATAATTAGTAGTGAATAGCTACAAGCAAAACATAAAGTGTAGACTACTAATACAACTGGATGAACTTTCATGTTCCTCAATCCAAATTCAGATTGCTGTGACCTTTTATAAATGACAGTTTTACATGTGGTAGAAACCATATCAGGGATCTCATTTATAGGTTGATGATGTGCCACTGAATAAGTTTAAGGGGTTTGCCCAAGATCACATAATTTGCTAAAGGTACAGCAAAGCCAAGACTTCCACTTTTTCAGTGCTTTTCCACTATTAAATACTGTCACTCAGAGATGTGTGTTCTCCACTTTTTTTTTTTAACACTACATATCGCCAAAATGCCAGCAAGAAGAAATTAAATAAACAGTCATTAGTACGTACTTTGTATCCAGCACTGTGCTTTAATACCATGAGATGAAATAGATTTATCTTTCTATTTTATTACATAACTAGAGGCCCGGTGCATGAAATTCATGCTCTGGGGGAGGGGGGGGGTTCCTCAGCCTGGCCTGTGCCCTCTTGCAGTCCGGAACCCCTCACTCCTTACCGCCCGCCTGCTCACTGCTCATTACCGCTCAGTTCCCTGCTCCTTAGCTCTGCCATGGAGGCAGGATAGGCTTCCACCACTGTGGCTGCACTTGCCAGTTGTGATCTCAGCTTCTGGCTGAGCAGTGCTCCCCCTGTGGAGTGCACTGACCACCACAGGTAGCTCTTGCATTGAGTTGCCCACTGGTGGTCAGTGTGCACAGAGCAACCAATTGTTCTGGTTGTTCTGCCCTAACGGTCGCTTAGGCTTTTATTATATAGATAAATAATGTTAAACTTCTGTATTAGTATGTAGTGAAGCTATCTTTACAGATATGCAAGTCATTCCCCTATCTTCTCTCTTTACAAACAGGGCAAAAATAAACAACTACATGGAAATTTCTCAAAGGCACATTTCTCTAACTTTGAATTTTCTTGTACAAATCTTATGGAGCTACAGGTCAGGAGGTATATTTTCTATGTCTTTTCTGCAGTCAATGGTATACTGGAGCTGGCTTGCAAGAACTGATTATGTCATTTCTTCCCATCTCAGTGTTCAGTGATGTCAGGTTAGAAGCCTGAAATCAGCTGTGATGGGAATATTTACACCACGGAAATTGGCAAATGTTGTGGGTCTGTAATGGTCTCCCCTAATCAGTGTCTGCTATTAGACATTTACCAACATACCAACATACAATGCATTGGTTGAGCAAAATTGTGCATGTTATTTTACTTCTTAAGCTATTAACTGCTCCTTCTGTGAAGTAGGAATGCTAATATATACTATATGATATATAACATAATTTTATAAGGTTCATGTGAAAGTACTTTGAAACTGAGTTTCAAGTAGAATGACTATCGCAGTCATTAGAGTTGTATGTTCACTAATAAAATATGCGACACTTGGCAAAACCAATATAGTTTAGGTAGATCGAAAATTTCTTAACACTGCACCTACACATAAACTGACTAGGGAACTGGCCAGATAAAAAGAAAAAGAATGAAATTCAGAGCTAAAGTCAAAGTCTGGATTTCTAAAGTGGACATCTAATAACATAACAGGTACCAAACAGAATATAGAGATTATTGGGACTAAGGTATTATTATTATTTTTTCCACATGCCATCATTCCTCTGTGCCTCTGATGAATTAGGCTTAGGAAGGTGGATAAATATTTTCTGTATGTAGATAATGAAGCCTTCTTCAGAAAGAATTTTCTGTTTTCTTTTTATCACCTACTTAATACAGACCTCTGTATACAAAGGGCTCCCAGATAAAAATATTGACAGATTGACCTCTTGAGGTTACACATCCCTGCTTTCATTTCCATGACACTTCAAAATACTTTTAAATCTGCATGGAAATCCCTACCCTTTGATACAGTGTCACTGCCTTTGGCATTTGCAGTGTGGTTAAGTAAGTTATATATTGAAACTGTAAAATCCTCTTCTGATTTAAATACTTTTGAGAGGGTACTTAGAAAACGTGGCTCCTGCATATTGGTCAGCTCTTACTTTGAATAAAAAAACAAAAACAAAAATAAAAAAAACACAAAAAACCTTTGTGTAAAAAACATTACCAACAGCAGACTGTTAATCACCAAAGCATATTCCAGACTTTTCATTTTCCCCCATGTGAACTCAATGTGGAAACTAGACTCTGGGACTTGCTATTTCAAGCTGAGTGATCTTGAAAACTAAGGAAATCAATTTCTTTTTAGTTAAAATTGAAAATATTATAGTCAGATAGATGTGGGCTTAAATCTTGGTTCCATTACCTGCAATTTCCGTGATCTTATTCTGGTTATATAATCTCAAGCCTGGTTTCCTCATATGTGAAATAATATCTGATCATAGGTTTAAGGTGATTATTAAGTGGAGAAAAAAAAAAAAAACAGCAGCATACCTAAAACTCTTAACACTACCTCTGGCCCATTGTGGATACTCAGTAAATTATTATCATCTTTGCAACCTTTCAATAGGTTGTGTTTTTTACTCCTGTATTTACTCTTAGCTTGCCAAATCACATAAAATATGCCTCTCTGTCTTTTTGTTTCCTCACACAAGAAGAAGATATAAGATCATTTTTTGCTTCCCTGGAATAATATAAGGATTAATTAATTCATGATGGATTGAATTATTCTCAGGATGTACAGTACTGAAAGTTCTATTTTTTGTTTAAAGAAATTATCACCAACCTTTCTTTTATGGCAAGACAAATTATCTCATAGTCTTTAAAAACAAGTATCACTAACTTTACCAAAAACAAATTTAAGTTTTATGCATTTAACAAAAAGGAATTCATGTTATGTTTCATACTGCAGACTGGGAATACATGAAAGGACTATTTGAACAGTTGAAAGCAAAATACCAGAGATGTTCTAGTTCAGCATGCCCAGGATGACGGCTTTAAGTTTTACTTTATATAGCCACTCCACACAGGTTATTCCAAAGAATGAACCAACACATTGACAAATATTTAGGACAGAATCCCTGTGGTGAGCATTTACCTGCTGGTGGACAGTGTGCGTCATAGCTACCAGTTAGCTGGTCAAACAGTCAGCTGATTGAACCGTCTGCCAATCACTCAGGCTTTTATATATATAGACTAGAGGCCCAGTGCACCAAGTTCAGGCACTGGGGGGAGTCCCTGAGCCCGGCCTGCACCCTCTTATAGTCTGGGACCCCCCAGCGGATATCCCTCACGCAATTCAGGATCCCTTACTCCTTACTGCCCACCTGCTCACTCCTTACCGCTCGGCTTGCCGCTCTTTGGCACTGCCACGGAGGTGCAGTGGGTCTAAGTCTAGATATATTTGCTCTTCCCTGAAAAGCTTCCTGAATTGTTTTTTAAATTGAAATAATAGTATATAAAATCTAAGCCAAGTGTTTAAATACAACTATGACCAAAATCTAATAATTTTCCCCTTACATTTGGATGGCAGAAATATATTTCCTCAAATAGATATTAATTAAAACAAAATTTAAAAAAATAAACACAGGCAATTTATTATTGGACAACTTTGAAATAGGGAAACATTTATAACCCTTTCAGCAGGTTCCACACAATATAATGAATATATCAAGAACTATTAGGAACCCCCTTCCATACCAGAGATGCTGATTAACTTCTGAGTTTTTTATGCTTGTCATGCTTGTCAAATGAACAAAGTGTGGCAACGATGATGGGTTATAACATTTTGGGGTATTTTAATGCCTTTCAAATGAATAATATAAAATACTTATTAGCGCTGACATATATTTTACCAATTTTACAAAATGTTAAACTGAATAAGTGGTGAATTAGTTGCAAATATATGTTTTATGTTGTTCTTCTATGGGTTGAGGCAATGTTTTTAATTAGCCTTAATAAAATATTACTTGGACAACTGAAGTTGAAGAAATATGTTATTATAATGCAGGTAAAGAATTTATTTGTTTGGGACTTTTAAGTTAAATAAGAAGTTTTGAAAAACTATAAGCATAGTTTCAAATTCTCTTTACCCAGGAGATTACTTAGTCACTGCCCACTTACTATGCCTTTCCCAACATATTTAACACTTTTTGAGAAGCTTTTCTACTATTTTATTTTTAATATAATTACACAACAATATTTATCTAACATTTCAGGTACCCTGGCTAATTATATGACCTTAAAAATTAGCAATATAACAAAATAAATGTATTAGTATTCTAAATGCTTAAGAGATATATTTCTTCAGTAATCTTTTGTGTATTATTTATAAAGATACTTTTCAAATTTCATTTACTTCAGTTCTTCATAGTATATTTGATATATGTTGTATGTTTCTCTAAATTAACTTTTCTGTGTATGTGTGTGCTGTTGTTTTTTCCAGTTACTGGCTGACAAACAAAGTTCCTATCAAAAGACCCAGTACAGGTCTCCTCATGTACACACTTGCCACAAGATTCTGTGATGAAATTCACCTGTATGGATTCTGGCCTTTCCCTAAGGATTTGAATGGAAAAGCTGTCAAATATCATTACTATGATGACTTAAAATATAGGTACTTTTCTAATGCAAGTCCTCACAGAATGCCATTAGAATTCAAAACATTAAATGTGCTACACAATCGAGGCGCTCTGAAACTGACCACAGGAAAGTGTGTAAAGCAATAAAGCACATTTGCAAACAGACAAACAAACTGAATATGCACTTCTTTTCTGAAGATGCTTCCTAAGATCTGAAAATAGGATCCAAAACAAAGACTGGGTTTCAGCATCTACCAATTACCTGAAAGGTGATCAAGGACATTCATGAGAAATCCACTACCAGCTGATGAAATATCTGCCAAGTGCTCTAAATTTAAATATGTAGACTTCAAGGGTCCTAGTAAGTGCCACTTCCACGAAGAACACAGTTTGAATGTATGATCAGTAGTGTTTACAAGATCCAACAATGCACTTGTCATTAGTTACTGAAACGAAGATGTTCATCACTGTCGTGCTGCCTCTGTGATGCCACGCACATAAGAAGAAGAACAGTGAGAACACAACTCAGCCCTTGGGGAAATTAACCATTCTTGTCAGCAGATATGAAGATGGAAACTGAGCAGAGAAATACACAAGATTCAACAACTCAAGGAAATGCCTTTAGTCAGGACTCTGAGTCTGATCATGGGTTTTATGTTTCCATTTCTGTTTTTATTTGTCTGGAATCTCCTTTGGTTTGGGGTGTTTAGAAATCCTTTCTAAGACAAATATGAATGAAATAACCTTCATGTGGTCATTTTTAAACTTCTTAAATTTTTAAAGAGCAATCACACAATGACTGTAAAAAAAAAAGTTTTATTTTGCACAACTCTAAACCTCCAGAATTTTTTCCTGTGATATAGAAGGTACCAACTAAACTATACCATTAAATAATCTTGAATCATTCTAAAGAAAAGATGTTCTATGTCACCTAGCCAGAAAAAAATGTACTTTTGGTACCAAAGATTATACTGATGTTTCTACACAACAAACCATTTTCTTTTTGTGAAAATAATATATTAATGTGTTATTCTATTAATGTGAAAGTCCTCTTTAGGTATTTTAAATTTTCAAAACTCAAACTTTATTTTTATTTGAAGGGAGACTTACATGGTGTTTACATTTCATCATAATTTTGTGGAAGAGTAAATGTTCGCCTGATAGGACTGAAATGTGACTTCCAGTTATTTGATATCCCCCTGATTGAAATAGAAAGGTTGGCATGCTCCTTATAGCATAAATTTTCTCAGTGCAGAAATAACTAATGAGTTTTGCTTCTGTAACAGAGATGATTCATTTTAATAGGCTTAACAATGAAACTGTATGTCAGTATTTTGCACTTTGAATGGATTCAATTGACCAACGTTTTTTCTGTGGTTAAGTTTATTCAGTGTTATCATATTAATATGTTCTCATAGAAGCACATGGAGTTATTAATAAAGTGAGTTAGGATGTTGTAGCGTGTAACAGAATTGACCAGTAGGCTTGTTGGCTGGTAACTCATGCTACACTTGTAGGCGATTCTGATGGTAACTTGTTTCTTTTGAAAGCAGAAGTGCTCTGTTTCCACTTCTACTCTTGTGTGAAACAACTCAGTTGGCTTCTTGTTTTTTTAGGCAAGGCAGTTTGAAGAAAGAAGAATAGCATGCAGAGTATGTATGCTTTGCTTTTTAGAGAAGACAGTCTGAGGGGGAATAAAAAGAGTAAATAGCGTGGAGCATGTATATAAAGTCATGAAAAAAGATATTATCAGTACAGTTCTTAATATATTAATGATATATGGTATTTTTAAAAATATGTTAGAACTGTGTGATATGGGAGACTATATTTTCTGAGAATTCATGTGTCTCTAAGAAAACAAAATAGAATAAAGAGATGCTTAGCTACAAATGGATAGAACATATGTACTTTTATCATTAATCTCCTATCTTCTAGAAATTTAAAAAGAATTAGGCACATGTTATGAATGTAAAGTTGAAAAATCTGATGGACTTAATCAGTCAAAGATAGGTAGAAGATTTATAGAATCTTCATTTTGACCCTTTGTGAATAAGTTGTTTGAGTAGCCTTTTATTGAATTTTATAGAAATTTTGAAGTCACAAGTAAATCTTATATGTAAAATTAATCTCAGAACTTATTTAAAGTATGTCCTAAAAAATATCAGCAAGGTACCTTGCCATTTTCACTGCATTTTAGACAAATGTATTTAAACAATTTTAAGGCCACAGCAAAAGCATCCCAGCCATTCACTGTTCTGTGCATTGAAGTTTATCTCATAGATGCATTGGGTAGTGCCTTTTTAGCTTCACGTTGCTTTGTTACCCCATGCTTTCTGTTTTCTAAATGTGTTGCCCAGTTCTGAAAATGTTCGGCATATAAAAAAGGGCTTCAGTATCAACTGAGACTACTTTTGTTCATCTCAGGGAGCTTTCCATACTCAAGAATGAATTCAATTAAGGCATCAAAGTGTTCAAAGAATACAAACTGTACATGATCATTTCATTCCCTATCATAAGCCTTTCCATCCATGCCTCCCACTTCAAGAACTACTGTGGCCTTAATGGGGCAAGGAGATCACCGAAAGCTGACAGCAAGAATAGGAAAATAGTTGAGGTTTGACCAATAAGGAGGCAAAAGGGACTGTGATAAAATCAAATTATACATGCATACTTGAAATACCTGCTTTTTTTCTTTTGTACTATTATATGTTCATAGCTTTAGGTTTTGGTTTTTTTATATATATATATATATATATCTTTGTTACGATTTAATCCAGTACCTGGCAATGCTCAGGCAGCTGGTTGTGAAAGGTTCCTGTCCTTCAGAGAACATAGATGTTACTGTGCTGTTGACATGAGAAGGCCATGGGAACCTGTTCATCATGATCACCCAGCCTGTTCTATTGTTAATATTAAGTTGCTGGAATTAAAAAAAAAATCAGTAACAGATTTTCTGGGCAACTCTAATTAATTATTCAGCCCACAGGACTGCTGAAATTATTGTGGAAGTTTTTCTATCTAAAAGAAGGTGCTGGGCATTCAAATGTATTTATGTATTGTGTATCATATGAAGTGTGTATCAATTGCTAATGGGAATTTCTATATATATGCTTATAGAAGCAATTTATTTCAGTGACGCTGTGCTTGCATTGGTGGTATAGTGGTGAGCATAGCTGCCTTCTATACGTTATGGGTAGTGTATATACCAACTAGTTATTAAGCTACTACACAGGAAAAAGGGGAGTAAAATAATTTATTTCTGACCGAGCGAGTCCGTCCCAATGCATAGTATTTGGTCTATAAAAGAGTTGTTTTCATGTGGTAATTGTTGGAAGTAGCTATAATTGTGGAAGGGGTGTAGGAAGAGTTAAATAGAATTAGTTGTTACCTCTACAGGTGTGAAATTTCCCATCAGACATTACCAATATACCACTGTTGTAAGGATTAAGTGAGAGGAGGTTATTGGTTGTATTTAATGAAAGAAAATCCAAATAAAGACCACCTCGAAATAGATATTTTATTATATATGTGCTATAGATATATCTATATAGTACAAATAGACATGTGTGATGCATATATACAATGCTATATATGTGTGTTTGTGTGTATACACACTGAGTCTGGAATATACACACACTAGACTTGTGTTATGCTAACGTCTTCAGGGGCCGCACCGTGAAGCACCCTGGAGATAAGACCCCCGTAGAATAAAGAAGTCCTTTTGAGACTTCAGTTACTAACCTGCTTTAAGAGGTGTCTACTTTATGAGTTCTTTGTTGCTCATACCTAGAGTTACAATAAGGGTCTAGTCTGTCTGAATCTTAAATAAAAAGAAAACTTTAAAATTTAAAAAAAAAATGTCTTCAAGCTGGCAGTGTGTTTGAATTGCAGTTTTCAGATTGTGGTTTCAGGCTCTTTGTCTCCCATTTAAATAGCACCTTTTAATAGACATGGTTTCTTTGAGTAGGCAAAAGCACAAGTGGTTCAAATGTATATAGCAGGAAAAAAAAGTTTACAAAGATAGCATTGCTGCACAGAATAATTGCTACTGAATATTTCTTATATAATTTGTGGAAATGAAAGATAAGGTTTATTCTGTCAAATTCATTCTGTCCAACACTGTTTTTCCTATTGTTTATGTAGAGCAATTGGATGTTATTGTTTTATTATTTGTAATATTGTAAAATAAATTAAATCCTTTTTTTTTCAATTTTCTCTTATTTCTTATACCCAAGCCCTTGGTTTTACTTTGTACACCAATATAAGGTCATGGTTTAGCTAATACCTTTGTCTTCCCTGCCTCTCAGCCTCAGCCATTGACAATTTGGCATTTATTTAAAGAGTATGCATGAGGCTGAACAAAATCAAAAGCCCATGAACATCAGGAAATCCTTAACAATTTTATGTGTGGTTCGTTGTGTTTGTAGTCTAAGGAAGAGAATGTTACACAAGTTACAGCCATTTCTATTCAATTTATAGTCCTGCTAACTGCTGTCAGCTGGTCACTACAGCTTTATGGCAACAGAGGTCAATGGTTTCTCACACACTGCACATTCTCAAGGTTTTCCTATGACCTGCGATTTCAAATTTGCTAGTTTGCAGTTCAATTCCAGGAGATGATTCTGCAAAACCAAATGTTTAAATTCTCTAGTCTTTGTTTTCAGACTCTGCACTATTCTCCACCCCCCCACCCCCAGAAATTATTACATATGGTCACTTTAAGCATTCTGCGATTTTGAAACATTTGCTAGAGATCAGCAGTGAATCATAAATCATTAATAATGGTTAATGAATATTGATCTTATTTATATCTGCATAATTACTTTTCAATTTCAAAGGTCCATATACTATGGGGTCATTCCTCTCTATTCTGGAGATATAATCAGTTCTTACCATAAACCTATGAGATAGATATTGCAAATGAGAGGTTGTGTGACCTTCAAAGGTCACACAGTTCAGAAGTGAAAGAATCAGTATTTGAACCAAAGAAGTCAATCTAATTTCAGTGTCTACCTACTGTCTTAACCATCACATTTTTTATTGTTGAAAGTATTATAGATATCCCCTTTTTTCCCCCAGTGACCTCCTCCACCCCTACCCCTGACCCTCCATCCCACAGGCTGTGCTGCCTCTTTTCAACTGGAAAG